AGATCGTAAACTCCTCGGCCGTTCGTCTACTACTGCCTCGATCCATGAGGATTCACCCAACTTTTCACGTGTCCCTCCTTAAGCCAGTCTCCTCTAGTCCACTTAACCCCCCGGCCGATCCTCCTCCTGCTCCTCGTCTGATCGCAGATGCCCCGTCCTTCTCTGTCCGGCGCCTCTTGGACGTTCGCCGCCGGGGCAGAGGCCTGCAGTACCTGGTCTACTGAGAGGGGTACGGGCTGGAGGAACGCTCTTGGGTTCCCAGGGCTCAGATCCTGGACCCCGATCTGATTTCTTCTTTTTTTAGGGACCACCCCGAAAAGAGGATCAGATCGCCGAGAGGCGATTTTTGCGGGGGGGGGGGGGGGGGGGGGGGGGGGGGGCTCTGTGGGAGTTCTGGTTTCCTTCCTGCCACTAACCATCTCCCACAGTTGCTGCACTAATTGATGATCTTCACCTGCCGCCTGCTCTGGAGAATGGGTTCGGCTCCTTCCATAAAAGCTGCAGCCAGGCTCTTCTCCAGTGCTGGGACATTACCCTTTACATGTTTTTTGACTTCCACGTCAAGATTCGTCTCAGGCCCTCCAAGGCTTCAACACCAAGGCAGGAGCCTCCTATGGAATGTCCCTCCAACCATTCATCTACCTCCAACCCGCTCCTGCACTCGCTGTTCCTCCAGTGAAGCTCCAACAAACCAGCAAAGGTACTCACCATCCTCTCTTCAAGACGTCCTCCGGAACCCAGAACCACACGGCGTGCCTCCCCTGCTCCTACATCAAGGCAGAACCTAGCTCCACTCCCTTTTCCCCTGTAAAGACAATAAAGAGGTTTATTTTTGCAACCCGGTTATCTGTCTGTGCTTCGGTTCTGCCATCTGGGGTCTATTCATTGATCGAATCATGTCAACTGGCAAAATAGAAGAGTTTAAAGATGGGAAATGAAGGAGTTTAAATGGAGAGAAAAGATGGATAAAAGGGGATGTATGTTCGGACCGCAGAATGGCACGCTCCCTTCAACACCAGCTCAAAACCTCCGGTACACTTGGCGCGTTAAGACTCGTTACCTTTGCTGAACTTAATCAGCTCCAGTATCGATTTCAACGCTACCTTTCCAGCGTCTCCGGTCAGGGCGGCTGGACATGTCAGGAGTCGTGCCGCTTACTCCGTTCACAAACACGCTCATCTCCCTGGTGGATACACAGCAAGCTGTGAGTTCGTCAGAGGTTCCACTCAGATGTGGAAGAATCCATCACAGGCTCCGAAGACAGAGTTCAAGACTAGACTTCATCAGAGACCCACTTGAAGACTCAGGGGACTTGACTGACAGACCGCCCAGTTCCAGGAAGTGTGGACTCTTAAAGAGTTCTTACTTCCGGTCACTTCAGGACTTCCTGATTGGTTGAAACAACCACCAGGGGGTGGTTCTAGTGATGTCAGAGGGTCATTACAAGTCAAGAAAACAGCAGGAATGTTTTAGGGACTTTTAGTACAGACAGGAGAAATGTAATGATGAAGTGATAGCAAGCAGGTGCCATTAGCTTCTTATTTACCATCTGCTAGGTTTAAAAACAATCCACTTCATTATGCTGGTGAAGATTCTCAGTCATCCAGGACATGATGAATTCAAAAAGCGTTCAATACAAAAACAACTGGACTTTATTTGTAACAGAAGACGTTTCGCTCCTCATCCGAGGAGCTTTCTCAATTCAAAGAGCAAAGAGTGAGAGATTCAGTTTATAAGGCTGAGTGAGATAAGACACACACACATATGTAGATTGGCAATTCACACCTCAACACCTTAACAGTAAGAGTCTTTTGTTCCTCTAATTCACAGACGAGGCCCCTCTGTTCCCATCAGGTGTGAAAACCGGCTGGGAATCAGTCTTAAAGTTGCATTATAGGTTTTTGAAAGTGGAAATCTGAGGCCTCCTCCTCTGTTAAGAGACAGCTTTTCTCTTTTTACATAAATTGCTTCCTTCACTCCCCTCTCAAACCATCTGTGTTCTCGGTCCAAAATGTGCACATTTTGGTCCTCAAAAGAGTGTCCCTTATCTGTGAGGTGGAAATGAACAGCTGAATTTTGTCCAGAGGAGGTGGCTCTCCTGTGTTGAGCCATGCGTCTGTGAAGAGGCTGTTTAGTTTCTCCAATGTAGAGGTCTGGACAGTCCTGGACAGGAGAAAACAATCAATTGATTGTTGTATTATAGATTGTACCCAGGGGAAGCCACTCCCTGTCTTTATGGACTTCCAAAAATATACAAAGAAGGAACACCACTCAGACCCATCGTCAGCAGCATGAACTCAGTGACATACAATATTGCTAAACATCTGGCTGGTATTTTAGCTCCTCTTGTTGGAAACACACCTCATCACATAAAGAACTCCATTGATTTTGCTAACAAAGTTCAACACTTGAAACTAACCCCAGGAGAAACCCTTGTATTGTATGATAGGACTTCTCTTTTCACATGCATACCCATCTCTGAAGCAGTAGAAACCGTCAGAAAACAACTTTTACAAGACAAGGACTTAATCAACAGGACCAACTTCACCCCAGACCAGATCTGCACCCTGTTGGATCTCTGCCTCTCCACCACTTATTTCAAGTTCAATGACAGTTTTTACAGACAGAAGCACGGCTGTGCCATGGGATCTCCAGTGTCACTCATTGTTGCCAATCTCTACATGGAGGAAGTGGAACAGAGAGCCCTAAACTCCTATGAGGGAACAACGCCAAGCCATTGGTTCCGTTATGTGGATGACACCTGGGTCAAAATCCAAGCCAAGGAAATAGAAGCGTTCACCAGACACATTAACTCGGTCGATAACAACATCAAGTTCACCAGAGAAGATGCAAACGACAACAAACTGCCTTTTTTGGACTGTTTGGTTCAGAAGGAAAGAGAGGACAGCCTCAACATTGAAGTTTACAGAAGACCAACCCACACAGACCAGTATCTTCTATTGGACTCCCACCATCCACTGGAACACAAACTCTCTGTCATCAGAACTTTACAACATAGGGCCGAATGCGTCCCCACGAAGACAGAAGGGAAGGAAAAGGAACAGAAACACATTCAAGAAGCTCTTCAAACATGTGGATATCCTAACTGGGCTTTTGTCAAGTCAGTGAGGAAATCTACAAAACACACCAATAAACAGAAAAAGGAGAACAACAGACGGAAAAACATTGTCATCCCTTATGTTGCTGGAGTATCAGAGAAATTCAGAAGGATTTTCAACAAACACAAGATCCCAGTACATTTCAAACCCAGCAGGACTCTCAGACAGAGGCTGGTCCACCCTAAGGACAAGACACCCATACACAAACAGAGTGGTGTAGTGTATGTGGTCCAGTGCAGCGAGGACTGTCCAGACCTCCACATTGGAGAAACTAAACAGCCTCTTCACAGACGCATGTCTCAACACAGGAGAGCCACCTCCTCTGGACAAAATTCAGCTGTTCACTTCCATCTCACAGATAAGGGACGCTCTTTTGAAGACCAAAATGTGCACATTTTGGACCGAGAACACAGATGGTTTGAGAGGGGGGTGAAGGAAGCAATTTATGTAAAAAGGGAAAAGCCGTGTCTTAACAGAGGAGGAGGCCTCGACCGACATCACTACTCCTCATTTCAGACAGAAGATCAAAAGGCATAATTACTTTGTAAATAGACATTTAACTTGATTTCTAATTTAAATGAGGATTAAAAAATCATTAATACTGTTTCACAGTTGATTTAAAATGAGTGGTTCACTTCAAAATTTAGAAATGGTATGAATTAAACACACTTTTGATTTGTCAAGATATTGTAAATTAGTAATGATAATATAAAAGAAGAGTGTTCTTTCAATTGATTACTTCAGGATACAATTAGACAGTCTCTGGATGAGCTAATTTGTATTTCTGGATTCAAATCAATGAAATAACAGTTCCTGTCCCATGAAGTTTCTCAGAGGCAGGTTTTGGTCGGAGGCCGAGTTCACTACATATATGTCAGTGAGGTTCTGTAGGGCTATGCCAGCAGTTTTGCTGTAGATCCTGACAATCCCTGAGAGTTTGTTCTTGTTTTTTTTTCATGTCAGAAGTACAAACTAACAGATGATGAAGGTGAAAGTTAAAAGAGATTCAATAAAACATTCTGATAAAAGTTGAATCAACATTAAAACCAGAGCTGAAATATAAAAATACATTCTCTGGTGGACCTTCTTACAAAGTGAGTTCACATGGGGGGTCAAAGGTCAGTCTGTCATCAAGAACAGATCCCTGATATTTATACTGATGCACCACCTCAAGCTTCACCGTTAATGACCACAGGAGCTGCAACTGAAGAGTCTTTTCTTAAATTAATGACCAACTCCTTTGTCTTAGAAACATTTAGCTTTAAAAGGAAGACTCAAGTCCCCAACCACAGGCCCAGGGTCTGGGTCATCACTGCTGAGAAGGGACAGGATGGCAGTCATCAGCAAACTTTAAAATGTGACACTGTGGGAACTGGCTGCAACAATAGTTTATATATAAAATGAATAAAAGGAGAGAAAGAACACAGCCCTGAGGGGAACTGGTAGAGGACAGAAGGACATCAGAGAGAACCCCGTTGGCCGTCACCCGCTGAGACCGAACAGTTAAAAAGTCTACAAGCCATCATGAGGACAGAGTTCAGATTGTACAGCAGGGGTGTCCAAACTTTTTTCAAACGGGGTCAGATTTGGTAAGGTAAAAATGGGGTCCGACCTTTCAACCTGACATTTTTGAACCATTAACATTAAATGCAAATTAACTATTTTATGATTTTTTTTTTTATTATTGAAAATGGCATACTTTTCATTTGTTCACACAGAACACATCAATCTAAATCAATTTTTAACACATGTTTCATGTTTGAAGAAAAATTCTGTCTGGAAAAAATCTTTCAGGAAGATTAAAAATACCTACAGTAGGTTAATTTGAAACATCACAAAGTGTTGTCCTCCTGATGCTCAGTAATCCTAAACCAGATGAATTTAACAGTGCAGAGTCAGGTTCGCTGGACCTGACTGGTCCTCTGGACCTGAATAGTCCTCTGAACTGGAGTGGTTCTCTGGGTCTGACTGGTTCTCTGGACCTGACTGGTCCTCTTGACCTGACTGGTTCTCTGGACTGGACTTGTTCTCTGGACCTGACTGGTCCTCTGGACCTGACTGGTTCCCTGGACCGGACTGGTCCTCTGGACCTGACTGGTTCCCTGGACCGGACTGGTCCTCTGGATCTGACTGGTTCTCTGGACCTGACTGGTCCTCTGGACCTGACTGGTTCCCTGGACCGGACTTGTCCTCTGGATCTGACTGGTTCTCTGGACTTGACTGGTTCTCTGGACCTGACTGGTTCTCTGGACCGGACTGGTCCTCTTGATCTGACTGGTTCTCTGGACATGACTGGTTCTCTGGACCTGTCTTCATCCATCTGCTGGTAAAAGTTGAGCAGAGGGAGCTGCTGGTGCTGACTGCAACACTTGGCATCACTGCAGCTCAGAGAGCTTCTGCAGGTGGTCTGGAGCATCATCAGGGTCCTCAGAGAAAGGAGAGGGAAAACAGTGCAGTCTCCTTTTCAATAGCTGCAAATTTATTTCTTTATTTAGTTACAGTCACCATTTTAGAACAGGGCTGGAAAGGGTCACACTGCCATCTTCTGGTGAAATATGAAATGGCATTTTGTACACGTGTGTTTTATTCTGTAGTCAAAGGTGCCGGTGGGCCGCATCTTATTGATTTTATGATAGAGACTGCGGGCCAGTGGAAATTTGAACTTGGGCCACAAATGACCCCCAAGCTGGACTTTGGACATGGCTGTCATACAGACATTGTAATTTATCTGCTACATTGTGGGGCTGAATACAATTAAAAGCGGATGCAAAATCAATAAAAAGCAATCTTACCTTCAAGGTGTCCTAAAATCATATTTTAAAAAGTTGCTGTTGCGTCCTCCACTCCTCTACATGAACGATAAGCAAATTTCCTGTTGATGATGTAATATAGGTCCATTCATCATTATCATCTCTGTAAATGTTGGTCCACAGAAAGTCACGATCCAGAGTTTGAGGAGAGCAAAGACTATGAGCTGGTTCGGCCTGTCAGACTTCACACAGTGAGAAAAAGAAGTGCAGAGGTATATCAAACACAACACAACACTGGATATCATGACTCATCTGTATCTTCATGCAAGCTATGAACAAGTCTTGACTGCATGGTCCGTTTATTTTTGCCCCTTAGCACCTTAGACCAGAGAAAATGAAATATGCGCTGACCGTGGGAGGAAGAGACATTGAAATGCAACTTGAAAAAAACAAGTATGACCTCACTTTACCAGTAAAGTTATATAAAGAAATATGTCAAGTCTTTAATAAATCTTTAATACATCTTTATTATATATTTAATACATCTTTATTACATCTTGAATACTTATTTCATCTTTACTACATCTTTACTACATCTTTAATACATCTTTACTACATCTTTAATACATCTTTAATACATCTTTACTACATCTTTACTACATATTTATTACATATTTATTACATCTTGAATACTTTTTCATCTTTAATACATTTTAATACATCTTTAATACATCTTGAATACTTATTTCATCTTTACTACATCTTTACTACATCTTTAATACATCTTTAATACATCTTTACTACATCTTTACTACATATTTATTACATATTTATTACATCTTGAATACTTTTTCATCTTTAATACATTTTTAATACATCTTTAATACATCTTTAATACATCTTTATTACATCTTTAACACATCTTGAATACTTCTTCAATCTTTACTACATCTTTATTACATCTTTATTACATATTTAATACATCTTTAATACATCTTTATTACATCTTTAATACATCTTGAATACTTCTTCAATCTTTACTACACCTTTATTACATCTGTATTACATATTTAATACATCTTTAATACATCTTTATTACATCTTAAATACATACTTAATACATCTTTATTACATCTTTAATACATATTTAATACATCTTTATTACATCTTTAATACATATTTAATACATCTTTAATACATCTTTATTGCATCTTTAATACATATTAAATACTTCTTTCATCTTTACTGCATCTTTACTATATCTTTAATAGATCTTTATTACATCTTTATTACATCTTTTATAAATCTTTATTTTAATATATTTCATTACTTTTTACATCTTTTTTACATCTTTATTACATCTTTAATACATCTTTATTACATCTTTAATACATCTTACTTTTAGAGCCCTGAGTGGTCAAGCCCCAGTATTCATTTCTGACCTTTTAGAGCCCTACTGTTTTTAGTTTTCTACATTCGCCTTAGAATCTAGCTGGTTTTTTTTTTTGTTTTTTTGTTTTTTGTTTTGTTACCTTTTCCTTTTAGCCATCCTATTTGTAAAAGAAAAAAAAACCTGCAGTATGAGTTTTTATAACTGCTTATTGTTGTTGCTGTTGTCCATTGTTGTCATCTTTCTTTGTTAAATCAGGTCTCTCTTGTAAATGAGTCCTCGAGGCTCAATGGGATTTACCTGTAGAAATAAAGGTTGATTGATACTCCTCTTCTCCGGGGCCTCAAATCTTCCAGTCAAAGGCTGTTAATGGTCCCACTAACTCATTTTAAGACCAGAGGGGATAAATCTTTAAGGGTTGCGGCCCCCAGACTGTGCAATGCATTGCCTCTGACTTTGCTCTGCCTTGATTCTCTTAATACTTATAAAAAGCAGCTGAAGACACATTTGTTTAGATTGGCTTTTAATTAGTTTCATATTGTCTTATGTCAAAAGCATGTTGTTTTATCTTTTATTGTTTGTTTTTATGTTTTATCTTGTGTTTTTATGTAATTTATTCTGTAAAGCACTTTATGGTTTCTGATCTGTAAAAGGTGCTATATAAATAAAGTTTGATTACGTACTTATTACATCTTTATTACATCTTTATTATATATTTAATACATCTTTATTACATATTTAATACATCTTTAATACATCTTTATTACATCTTTATTACATCTTTAATACATATTTAATACATCTTTATTACATCTTTAATACATATTTATACATCTTTATTACATCTTTAATACATATTTAATACATCTTTAATACATTTTTAATACAGCTTTATTACATCTTTAATACATATTTAATACATCTTTAATACATCTTTATTACATCTTTAATACATCTTTATTACATCTTTAATGCATCTTGAATACTTCTTTCATCTTTACTACATCTTTACTACATCTTTAATACATCTTTATTACATCTTTTATAAATCTTTATTTTAATATGTTTCATTACTTTTTACATCTTTTTTACATCTTTGTTACATCTTTAATACATCTTTATTACATTTTTAATACTTTTTTAATTACATCTTTAATACATGAAGGTTTAGGTTTAGTAAAGTATGTTGTGCTTCATTCATTTCTAAAGTCTGAGAGAATACCATATCTAATGGTTCAGCCTGTTTTTTAAAGCTAGTTTGTGTTTTTCTCTTATTTTTCAGCGAATTAATAGCCAAAGATTACACAGAAACTTACTATGAGGCTGATGGAAGTCTAATCACTACAAAGCCACACGACATTGTAAGTGTTGTTGGCACATCTCATTTCTTAAGAATGTGACTCGCCCCAAACTACAGCAAGTTGTTCCTTTCTAAGTTGTATATTTGAACTGTATGGTCTTTAAAAGCTTTAAATCAATGTATGTTTTATCAAATGAAACATTTCTGTCCTGTTCAGGATCACTGTTACTACCATGGAAGAGTTGTGAACGACAGTGGATCGTCTGTCAGCATCAGTACTTGTAATGGACTCAGGTGAACCCTCTTGCTTTTATATTTATCTTTTTTTCTGCCTTTGAGTCATTCACCATGTTTATGATCTACAGTTGTCCCTCGGTAGTTCGCGGTTCGTTGATCACAGACTTGCCTATCACAGTTTTTCAAAATAAGTTTGGACATTACTCACAATTTGCTGACTGATGGATGAGCTGCACGATCGGCATGAAATTTTTATTTAAAATAAATTATTTTAAATTATTTAGCACCTGCTGCACATTTGTGCAGCCCACAGCTGCAGAAGAAAACTTCCTGCTGCAGCTGGTCAGCTGTTCACCGTGCAGCATGGAGAAGTGGATGTGGCCAAGAGCGCTTGCAGGTGGCTGAAAGCAGCTGGAGGCATGGAGCTGAAATCATGACATTCTGTGCTCTTTTAGGGAGTTTATAAACATCGCTTAGAATATTGCAAGAGTGTGGGAAGGGTTTAAAATGCCTTTAAATACTGTCTATATATATATATATAAAACTACTATTTACTACTTGTACTACTACTCCTACTCGCAATTTTTCACTTATTGCGGGGCTTCAGGGTATGAATCCCCTGTGATAAACTATTGTATAGAATGTGCCACTTAAATCAATTAAACACACATAAAGTGGTTTCAGGCAGCAGCTGTACAGTTTTGGTGGCTTACTGTAACAATAAAAAGGGTTAAAAAGTTAAGCAGGTTTCTCTGCAGTACTGTGGCCTTGGACTAATCAAAATAAGAAATTCATGCCACTTCACATTTCTTTGTTATTGTTGCCTCTGCAGAGCCACATTATTCAATTTAATTCAGATCACTTCACTTCAGTTTATTTCTAAAGCTCCAAATCACAACAGAATCGTCTCAGGGACTGAACAGAAACATTCATATTGTAGTGAACTAGACCTCCGACATCAATGTGTCTCTGAAGACCTTCAGGGGACAGGAACTGCTATTTCATTGATTTGAATCCAGAAATACAAATTATCTCATCAAGAGACTATTTAATTGTATCCTGAATTAATCAATTGAAAGAACACTCTTCTTTTTCATATTATCATCAACTATTTTACAATATCTTGATAATCAAAAGTGTGTTTAGTTCATACCATTTCTAAATGTTGAAGTAAACCACTCATTTAAATCAACTGTGAAACAGTATTAATGATTTTTAAACCTCATTAGACTTAGATCATACAAGTTAAATGTCTATTTATGAAGTAAGTGTGCATTTAATCTTCTGTCTGAATGAGGAGTAGTGGATTTGATGTCGGTCAAAAGTCAGAGGACAAGTTATGAGAACGATGTGCCGTGTTTTAAAACTCTCAGACAGTAAATAAGAAACTGGCACCTGCAAAGTCTGTCATTTCTTCAAAATAGTTTCCTGTCTGTACTAACCGTTCTTAAAAACATTTCTGCTGTCTGTTGACTTCTAATAACCCTCTGACATCACTAAACTCCACCCCTGCTGGTTGTTTCAACCAAT